CGGCCTCGTCTGCTCCCCGGTAGGGCCACTCCGTGTGCCTGCGCTTGGGTTTCAGGGGCCGAGAGCGCCACCTCGGAGCTCACGGGCCTCTCGGAGCAGCTGGTGGACACGGCGTGCAAGGTGTGCCAGGCCTACCTGGGGCAGCTGGAGCACGAGGACGTCGATGTCGCCGAGGACGCCGCCAAGGACCTGACGGAGGACGAGTGGAAGGACCTCACCCAGCAGTACTACGCCCTCAGCCGGTAAGCGGGGCGGCTCAGAGCTGGGGGCGGCGCCCGGACCAGAGCGGAGCATGCGCCCTGCGCGCACCCGTCGCAGGGCGTGGGGTGACTTCAGGACTTGTCTGGGGCGGTCCAGCCTCTGGGACGTTGCGGCACCTGCCTGGGCATGTGGGGTGCTGTGTGCCTGTCGGGTCACCATCTGGGCATGGGGGACACCGTCTGGATGTTGGGGCCCCTGCCGGCTAATGAAAGGGTGACACCCCATGGCAGCATCTTCAGGGGACATCCCCTGAAGCTCTTCTCACACCCTGTCGTGTCTTCCACCTCGCGTGACCCCCCAATGGCCACAGGGGATGAGCAGGCAGGCCCCCGGTGGCCTCAGCCACTGCCCGGCCCAGGCCTCCTGCCTGCCCACGACCTTCATCACCCCTTGCTGCCCGCGGCTCTGAGGCTGACCCTGCTTCCCTCCTCCCTGCTGAGGCCAAGTCCTACCGAGGCCCGGGGTCCGTGCCCCTCACATAGCCAGCAGAGGAGCTGGCACCCCGATGGCCGAGGGGGCGGGTCAGGGGAGTCAAGGCTGCGTCTTGGGGGGTCTGCCCACAGCCACATGCACCTCCCAGGCCGTCTCTGTCCTTCCATCATGGCCGCGTTTTGGGGGGTCTGCCCACAGCCACATGCACCCCCGCAGGCCATCTCTGTCCCTCTGTCCTGAATTGAGAAACGTTTTCTCTTTTTCGTGGAGACAGAGCACAGTAGGGGCCTGCCGTGCACGGCCGTGTCTGGCTCACGTGCACACCTGTGTCACCTTGGCCCAGATCGAGACACAGCATTCCTGGCCCTGCCAGGCTCCCTAGTAACCCAGGCAGCACCCCTCAAGCCGGCCCTGGTCTGATCCCCTCAGCCAGCCTCCCGCTCGTGGGCTCTGCGGGCTGTGATCTGTGGCCACGAGGCCCACCCACGTTCCTGCCCGTGGCTGAGCAGCGTCCCCCATCACCCAGCCACACGGTGCTCAGCGCTGTGACGTGGATGGGCCCGTGGGTGACCCACAGGGGCGAGGCTTGCTGCTTCTCTCTTCTGGGTCACTCCTGGCGGTTAGTGTGCGTCTCTCCGATGACCACCGGCGCTGGACGTGGCTTCGCGTGCTCCCTGGTCGTGTGCTGAGCTTGCTCGTGTCTTTGGCTCGCGTAGAGGGCGAGAGGTTGTGCCGTCCATTGATTTCTGAGCGTCTCTGTCCTCACAGGCCCTGGGTGGGTTTGTGTGTCCGGCACGCCTGCCCCCATGTGTCTGGTCTGCTGCCCTGAGCAGAGCTCCTGGGGAAGCCCGGTGTTCCGGGACCCAGCCGGGCAGGGCGCTCCGAGTCCCGTCTCACGACCTTTGCCTCTCCAAGGTCACGACTTCTTCTGGATGCTTCGCTGCTTCCCCTCTCCCTGCGGCTTCCCACGGTTACTCACGCCGTCGTGAGCTTCGCGTTAGGCAGGAGACGGCGCCGGTCTCCACTGTGGGCAACGAGTAAGCGCGAGCTGCTGGGAAGTTGCCTTCGCCCCAGCACGTGACCCGCCACGAAGGTCGGATGACGACGTGGCTGTGGCGCGTGTGCCGTCGCTCGCTCGCGTGCCCTGGGAAGGTCGCAGCGGTCGGGCGGGTTGTCCAAACCCTCGACCTTGCCAAGCACACTCCCCAGGACACTGAGCGCCCTCCGGCTGTGTCCGAGGCTCTCCTGCGTCCGTTTTTAGTTCTGTGGTCGTTCGCTTCATGTGTTAGATGCAGGATAGCGTCGTCTTCCGCGGATCGGGCCCGTCCGTCATTATGAGGTAACGTCGTTGTGAAGTGGTCCCGTCCCCGTCAGCCGCTTCCTTCGGCGCGGTGTGTGCACAGAGCTTCCCACCCTCCCCGCCCCGTCTGTGGCTGGCTTTGTGTTCCGAAGCGGGTCTCCCAGAAGGAGCCCGTGGTAAGGGCCGGGTCTGGCTTTGTGCCCGGCCTCACGGCGTTTTCCTGTGAACTGGCTGGCGCGTTGCTTTCATTCTCGTGAAGACCCGTGAATCCGGTTGGGTTTAAGTCCATTCTCGCTCCTGTTCTCTGCTTATCCGTTTGCTGTTCCACGGTGCCGTCTCGCCTACCTCCTTGTGAGTCGGTCAAGTATTTCTAATTATTCCATGTTATCTCCAACGCCAAATATTTTTACCTAACGCGTGTGTATTTTTGGCGGTGTGCCAGGTGTCACACACAGACTGCACCTTCGACGCGGGGCCCTGGCGTCTGCGTTTGCCACGCCCGGGCACCTCGACGCCGTGTGGCCGTTGGCCGCGGTGCCGCTGCCGCGTGTTACTTCCACAGAGGTGCACGCTCCACGGGACGTGGGCGCCGTGGGCGCCTTAAACGACCGGCGTTCTCGCGTTTATTTTGGGGTTTACCCCGTTTCGTTTTGTTTTCCCTGCAGCTCTGCGATTCCTTCTGAGATATGTATAATTTTTCCAGCCTGAGAGAACAATCTCTTCCGTTCTCGCAGTTTTGTCGAGCTGCCAGAGGCTGCTCTGGTCCCGCGCGTCTTCGCCTCCTCGGGGTGTTTCCGCTGCGGCAGATTCGCGGCCGGTCGCCCTCCCCCGGCTCTGCGGAAGCGTCAGTCACTGCAGCGTCTTCCGCCGTCGTGGCTCCTGCTGGAAACGGGCCGTCGCTGTCCGTCTTCCTACGGCGTTTTAGGCCCTCGAGCCGCGTTTAAAGACTGTCTCTCTTTCTTTTCGGTTTCAGAAGTTCGGCTTCGGGCGTAGATGCGGTTCTCTTTGTGTTTGCTGTACTGACTTTTTGGGGATTTCGTCGTCTGCGGGTTCGTCCTGCATGGAGGCTGCAGAGTTCCCGCCTTCGGCTCCGCAGGGTCCCTCCCGCCGCCCTTTCCGGCTCCTCTGCTCAGCCCCGGCGCCCGTGGGTGCGAGTGGGTGCGGCCACCAGGGGGCGTCGCACGTGCCTCTCTGCTCCACACGGTCCCCTTTCTCCCTCCGAGGCTGAGCTTGGAATTTTCTGCCGTCGCCCCCTGGGGGCGGCCGGTTTTGCCCTCTGTTGTGTCTGGCTGGTTTTTAAACCGACCCGGCGCCAACTGCAGCTCCCGGCTCTCCTTTCTCGTGCCGCCTCTGCGCTTCGCGTGAAGTCAGGTTTTCCTGCCTCTTCCCAGCCTCTCTCGTGTTTACTGTACACCGGGCCTCGCGCATCCATGCTGTCCCCCCGCGGGAGGGTCCACACGGTCCCCTGCTGTGCGGGTGGGCTGTGAGCGCGTGAGCAGGGCTGGGGTGCGGCCTTAGGACATTCAGCTCACCCTGGTGTCACATGTCTCTAGAGCGGAACCGACGAGCGTCTGCTGCAGGCCCCTCCCTGGGAGAACTGGCCTCCTCAGCACCATGAGATGGGGGCTTCACCCCGTCTTCTCGGCCAGCGTCCTGTGCTCTGGGAGAAACTGGCCGTGTGTCTGGAGCACCTCGTGCCGTGTGGCTTCCCAGAATGAAGTCCTTCTGCTCGTGCCTGAGTCTCAACCTTCACCTAGATTTGGCAAATATTCCCCGGGAATGAGGTGGCCGAGACACGCGGCTGGCCCTGGAGCAGCTCCTCCGAGTCTGCAGCGGCAGGCCACCCCGTCCCCTTCGCGCCCACAGCTCTCTGACACTTCAGAAAGCACGACGTTTGTAGTTTACCTGTTTTTTCCCCAGTTATCACAGCGGTCACGATGGCCGCAGTGTGCTGCCTGAGTCGGATCCCTGAGCAGGGATCCGATCACCTTATTGTGTCTCCCGTACGTGGTTTTCAGATACACATTTGTTTTCGTCTTCCAGGGTTTGCCCCCAAAATCACAGTGCTCGGTGCTGTGACTCATGTCCAGTCGGAACGTCCAGCGCCTCCCGCACGCCGCCAGCGCCCCGCGACCCCACGTGCACCCTCTTCGCTCACTGCGCCCCTCATTTTTTACCGCAATATAGGTTTTTTCCAAGTTTTTACTGTGGTAAAATACACAACATAAAATTTACCATTTTTAAATGTACAGCTGAGCGGTATCACATACATTTACGATGTGCGGCCAGCCATCTCCACGGCTCTCTCCGTCCTGTGAAACTGACACCGTGTCCCCACTAAATACTCCACGCCTTTCCCCCGGCCCTGGCCCCTGCCCCGCCACCCACTTCCCATCCCACTGTGTGGGTGGCCCACGCCTTGCTCGTCCCCTCACCTGCCTGCTGGGGACACGGGGTGGCTTCCACGTTGTGGCCGTGGTGAATGGCGCTGCCGTGAGCATGTGTGTGTGCGTGTGTCCTCGAGTGCCTGCTCTCGGTGCGGTGGGCGTGCCCCCAGAAGCAGGATCGATGGGTCCCACGCGGTGTTCGTTTTTTGGGGAGCCTCCACATTGCATTTCACACCACCCCGGCAGCCAGTGCGCGGAGGGCCCAGCTTTCCCACGTCCTCAGTAGCACTGGTCATTTTCTGGTTTTTGCGGCCGTGCTGGGGGGGGCAGGGTGAGGTGGCATCTCGCGATCTGGTTGGTCAGTGACGCTGGGCATCTCTTCATGTGCTTATTGACCATCTGTCATCTTCTCCGGAGAGATGTTTGTTCAAGCCCTCTGCCCGCTTCTGAACCGGGGTTCCGTTGTCGCTGAGTTTCGGGGCCCCTCTCCCTGTTCTAGATGTTCACCCCCCGTCCGATGCTGCATTTGCACACGCGTCTCCCATTCCGGTCGCCTTTTCGCTGTCGGTGTCGTCCTCCGATACGCAAACCTGAGACGTCTCCGGAGTCCAGCCCGTTTTCCCCTTCGTTGCCCGTGCTTTGTGCCACAGCCCAGAAATCACTGTAAAATCAAGTCTGAAGCTCATGCCCTGGGTTTTTTTCCTAAGAGTTTCCTAAGTTTGCAACTTAGCAGTTGTTGAAACGTATGTTGATACCTTTGTAAGAGTTTCCTTGTTTTTGGTTTCACGTTGGGTCTTTGATGCATTTTGAGTGAATTCCTGTGCACGGTGCGAGGGGAGGGTCCGGCTTCGTCCTCTCGCACGTGGACGTCCGGTCCCCCGGAGCCGTGTGGTTTGAACTGTCCTTTCCCCGTGGCTCGGCCTCGCACCCGTCAGAGGCGTTTCACCGTGCACGCGAGGGTTCACTTCCAAGACTGTCCTTTCCCCGTGCCTCGGCCTCGCACCCATCAGAGGCGTTTCACCGTGCACGCGAGGGTTCACTTCCAGACACTCTCTTCCGTTCCGCTGGTCCAGTGCCCCCGCGTCCAGTGTCCTCCTGTCCGATGTCCTCGCTGTCCGATTGCTCCGCTCGGTAGTGACTTGAAACTAAGACGCGGGACACCCCCAGCCTCGTCCCTTTTCAGGGTCTTGTTGGCTGTTTGGGGTCCCTCGCGATCCCATGTGAATTTCAGGATGGGTTTTTCTGTTTCTGTAGAAAGCACCACTGGGATTTGGGGGGGGGGCGCATGCCATCTGTACGTCGCTGCCGTGGACAGTGCCCAGTGCCACAGCGTCAAGCTCAGCATCGGCGGGTGTGCCCCTTCTCTGGCGGTCGTGCCCCTTCTCTGGCGGTCGTGGACGTGTCCAGGGCCGGAGAGTGGCCGGCTCCCGCCCCAGTCCTCCCATCCTCTTCCTCCAAGGTGACCTTGTCATCACCGTGACACGTGCTCCTGCCCAAATGCCACCAAGCCAGACCAGGTGTCCTCCTGGGGAGAAGCATGGGTTCCTTCCTGTGGGGAGGCCAGCCCTGTGTCTCCTCTCTGAGCCAAAGTCGGGGTGGCCCTCGCGTCACGTGAGTGTGCTGGTCTCCGGGGCAGCTTTGCTCCTGCCCAGCGTGGTGATGCCCTCGGCAACCTGGCTCATTCCGCGTGGTGTCCGCGGCCAGTCCACGGCCAGGCGGGCCATTATGGGGCGCGTGGGGCTTGCACCCCCTCCCACCACAACCTGTCGTCATGCCGGGCTCAGACGGAGCTCGTCTACTGCAGGGAGGGCCCGGGGCTCCCCTGGCCATGTCCGGGCAGAGCTGGGCTGTGGCCCCGTAGGACACGTCCCCCATTCCCTACGCCCAGGCAAGGGCCTGACCTCCGGCGGCCCCTGCTTTCTCGCGTCCCGGCCACAAGTCCAGCACCGCAGCAGGGACGCCCCGCGCTTCACCGCTCCTCCCGTGTTGCCCTGTCCCCAGCAGGTGCGGCTGGGACCCTGAGCACGGAGGGCCGTGTCCCAGGAAGCTCAGCTCCCACCTCCGGGCCACCGCATGGGGCGTGGCCGTCCCTCGGAGCCGCGTCTGCTGCGTCCTCCACATGTGGGCGCCGGTTCCCTGTCCCTGGCTTTAGCGAGGCACCACTGAGCTCAGAAAGCCACTCGGGGTTCTGCCGTCTTCCTGCCTTTACCCCTTACGTCATGGTGGCTTCTCGGGCCGGCCCTGGTGCCACTGTGACTGTGTGGCCTCCAGCCAGTCCTGGGACAGACCAGCCTGCAGGACATTAAGCTGGACCCAGTCCACGTGTGCTGCAGAATGGGCAGCGTGGGCGCGGCCAGCGTGGGCAGGTCGGCTCCCCGTCGAGACCTCCCCACAGGTGAGGTGCCATCCAGGCACCGCTGACCGCCGGACGTACCGGCCCGCGAGGGCCGCACTGCTGGGGGACCCTGCCGGGACCCCACTTCGTCTCCCTGCAGCCTTCAGTCGGCCCAGGCACGGCGCTCCTGAGGGTGTGCGTGGTCCGGCCCCACACGCCGGGTCCCCAGACCCCACGGCCTGGCCGGGAGCAGCCTTGCCATGTCGTGGTGCAGAGGTCCTCGGCACGCTTGGTAGGACCGGGCCGCGGCGGCCGAGCAAGGTCCCCAGAACCTCACGCGCTGTCTGGGTTTTGCTTCGTAGTGGAGACGCCTTCATTTCCAATTCAAGAAGTCACTATTCCCAGTGCCAGGATCTGCTGAATAAAATCTCGTCTGTGAACCCGCAGACCGAGATCGACGGGCTTCAGAACATCTGGATCGTCAAGCCCGCCGCCAAGTCCCGGGGCCGAGGTGAGTCCCGCGGGCGAGGGGCTAGTTCAGGGCCCGTGGGACGGCCTGCGGGACGGCCGCTGGGAGCAGAGCGGCCTGGGTGACAGTTGGTCGGGGTCTTCCCACCACGTTCCCGCTGGTTGGTCGGGGTGTTCCCACCACGTTCCCGCTGGTTGGTCGGGGTCTTCCCACCACGTTCCCGCTGGTTGGTCGGGGTCTTCCCACCACGTTCCCGCTGGTTGGTCGGGGTCTTCCCACCACGTTCCCGCTGGTTGGTCGGGGTCTTCCCACCACGTTCCCGCTGGTTGGTCGGGGTCTTCCCACCACGTTCCCGCTGGTTGGTCGGGGTCTTCCCACCATGTTCCTGAGCGAAACGGGCTGCAGTTTTCTTTGGACTTTGACCAATCTTGACACTGGGCTTGCGCCAGCTGCTGCAAGGGCGGGGCTTCCGTCTCGGCAGCGGCAGCGGAGGCGTCTGCTCCTCCGGCGACGGAGACGCTGGGCCCCGGGCTCCCGCGCGCACTCAGCGGCTGTTTAGCGTTGTCACGGCAGCCGCGTGTGCAGGGTTCCCGCCTCGTCTTCCTGCCTCGTCTTCCTGCCTCATCTTCCTGCATCAGTTGCAACCAGATTCTTTTCTTTATCCCTGATGGCGAATACTGTGTTTGCTTTTTAAAAAAAAAAAACAAGATTTCAGGGTGTTTTTCTAATCTTATTCATGCTTCCAAAAAATCGGCTTTGGGTTACATTTTTTCATTGTTCCTTTGAGGAATTTTTTCCCCCTTGGCTCTGACTTAAATGATAAGTTTGTTTATTTCCATTCTTTCTTGTGCAGCAAGACTGTGAATTTTCCTCTGAACGTGGCCTTAGCTGCACCCTCTTGTTTATGTCATGTGATCTTCTCATTTTCCCGAGACTCTAGATTTTTCTTTTAATTTGGACATTCTCTGTGCTCCTTGAGTTTTCATAAGTCTTTTGTTGATGCTGTCACTGTTTTAAAATTACAAATTGTTAAATTTTATGTGATTTTAAAAAATCTGTTAATTCGATGTTACTGCGTTCGGCCCTAACCACTTCTTCTCCTGAAACGTTCTCTCCCCTGGGCTTCTGCCTGCTGTCCCCTGAGTGCCACCTCCCGGCCAGGGCACTGCTGCTCCCTGGCCTTGTCCCGGGCCAGCTACCCTGACAGCGGCCCTATCCACTGGCGGATCCCCCCTTCCTGCCCACCAGCCTTCTTCCCGCTGCGGACACCTGCGTCCCCAGGGGTGCTCCGCTGCCTTGAACTCACTGTGCTCATCGAGTGCGCAGCTTCCCCCGGGCCCTGGCCGGGCCCCGCCTCTGAGCCGCCCACTCCCCACCCTGTTCTTGGCTCAGGGCAACTTCAGCGGCTTTCGCTTTGGCCTAGAGGATGACAGACCTCAGCTTCCCGTAACTGAAGAAACGGGCCTTGTGTTTCTGTGAGGAAATCTCACCTCGATACTTGTGCTGCTTGTGCTTCCGGGGCCCTGCAGAGGGCGGCCCCCCTCCGCCCTCGGGCCAGGCAGGACGGGCCAGGGCACGCTGAGTAACAGACAGTCCCCGAACCCCAGCGGTCAGCAAGACGCGAGCAGCTCTCAGCGGGCCCACGCCCTCTCACGCTTGCTGTCCACTGCGGGCGGGCGTGGGAGGACGGCGCGGGGGCGGTGCCCTCGAGGTCCCTCCACCGTCTGTGACGCCACTCCCTTCAGGCTTCGGGGCTGTCAGAGAGAGGGCCAGGAGGACTGTAGGTGGCGTTAAATGCTGCAGCCCAGAGAGATGCAGGTCGCTTCTGCTCAGATGTCCCTGGTCACCGCTAGTCATGTACCCTAACTTTGGGGGTTGAGCAACTGTAAACCATCCTGCCAAGTGGGGGAGAGGCAGATGTGGGCGAACGTCTCTGCGCCCCAGTCCTGCCCTTCCGCTGGCTCACCCTGCTCACCAGCCACTCCCGGCGGGAGGCGTCCTGGGCCCTCACGGCTGGCAGAGCACCCGCCACCCCCGCCTGCCTGCTGGTTCCTCTGGGGCCCGCGAGCCGCCCTGCTCCCCCGTTCAGCCACACCCTCCCTCGCCGGCCGCCTTTTAAATGTGCCTCTGCCCCGGCCCTGTCCCTCGAGTTCTTGCTGGAGTCCTGGGGGCTGGCCCCAGCTGGGAGAGCCTGGGGCCGCCCTGGCTGGGCCTCGACCTGCGGGCGGAGCCTTCCCTGCCCGGCCCCCAGCCCTGCTGCCCCGGAGGGACCGTCACCGCACGGGTGTCGGGGCGGAGCCCGACCCGCCTGCCGTGCCCGGGGCTGAGCGGTGGCCTCTTGCAGACATAGTGTGCATGAACCGCGTGGAGGAGATCCTGGAGCTGGTGGCCGCGGACCACCTGTCTACCAAGGACAGCAAGTGGGTAGTGCAGAAGTACATCGAGACGCCGCTGCTCATCGGCGACACCAAGTTCGACATCAGGCAGTGGTTCCTGGTCACGGACTGGAACCCCCTGACCATCTGGTTCTACAAGGAGAGCTACCTGCGCTTCTCCACACAGCGCTTCTCCCTGGACAATCTGGACAGGTCAGCGGGGCGCGGGGCGCGGGGGGCGCGAGGTGCAATCCCAGCCACGCCTGGAGCACCAGGCCGCTGCCGTGGGCACAGGCAGGGCACTCCAGCCGTTTCTGCTGTCGCCAGAGCCTTGGAGGCGCCCATGGGGACCCCGAGATTCATGGAGCTAGATGAGCTCCGTCCCCGAGGGACAGGCCCAGGCCCGCTGGCCCTCACAGCCAGCGCCCTGCACTCCCACGAAGTGTGTGTCTTCAGAAGACCCCAGAAGGGCCTCCGTTAACCCTCCCCGAGCCCCGCTCTGCTTCTGGGACACGACGCACGCCTGGGCTGCTGGGGAGCCGGGAAGTGGGTTCTGAGTGGGTGAGGTCCAGCCCGGCGCCTCCCCGACCCGCTCAGGGTGCTGGGGGCCCCCGTCCGAGCCGCTGGCCCCGTCCACAGCTGTTTTTCCTTTCGTGTGTCACGGGACTGAAGTTACCCGTGGCCGCGGGGGTGGGGCTCGCCACCCAGCGCCTGACGGGAAATTCCCGCCACGTGTACATGACAGGGTCTACAGCATGGTCTAATCTAGTGCGTGTTATTCAGTTTATGTCCCGTTTGGAACAAGGCCCGAGTAGAAACGAACTAGCTGAAACTTTCACTGTTGGTGAATCTTTCTCGCGAGACCGGCTCTTTGAGGCCCATCTCCCTGCCACATGCTAACGTGGAAACTGAGGCGCGAGCATGCCGTGACTTAGCCGAGGCCCCGGGTTGCTGCCCTGGCTGGTGGGCTCCTGCCCTGCCCTGCCCCCTGAGCCTGCCTCCCGGGAGCTGGGGGAGCCTCCTGCCATGGCCCGCGGCCAGGGGCAGGGCCCGGCGGCTGGCCTGACCCCGCCCCGCCCCGCCCCGCAGCGCCATCCACCTGTGCAACAACTCCATCCAGAAGCACCTGAAGAACGCCAAGGACCGCAGCCCGCTGCTGCCCTGCCACAACATGTGGACCAGCGCCCGGTTCCAGGAGTACCTGCAGAAGCGGGGCCGGGGCTCCCTGTGGAGCAGCCTCATCTACCCGTCCATGAAGCGGGCCATCGCCAACACCATGAAGGTGGCCCAGGAGCACGTGGAGGCGCGCAGGAACAGCTTCGAGCTCTACGGCGCGGACTTCGTCCTCGGGCGCGACTTCAGGCCCTGGCTGATTGAGATCAACTCCAGCCCCACCATGCACGCGTCCACGCCCGTCACCGCCCAGCTGTGCGCCCAGGTGCAGGAGGACACCATCAAGGTGGTGCTGGACCGCAGGGCCGACCGCAGCTGCGACGTCGGCAGCTTCGAGCTGCTGTGGAGGCAGGTGAGGGGTGCGGGCCCCGGGGGCTGGAGGGAGCCCCAGCCCTGCCCAGCCGTGGCCCCGACCTCAGGCCCCACCGAGCACCTGGTGCAGGTCGAGCACGGGAGTCCCTGCCTGGAGCCTCACCCAGCCCAACTGGCTCCCACCACCCAGCCTTGCTCCCTCTGCTCCACACCCACCCCCGCGACCCCCGGCCTGGCTGGCGGGACGTCCGTGGCCTTGGGTCCTTCTGGGCTGTCTGTCCTTTCTGGCTCTGCAGTGTCTTCCTGTCCTTGGCGGGCACCGTGCCCCCCCTTCAGGCTCTTTCTAGGGCCTGCCCCCGCAGGGAGCCTGTGTGGGCCGGGGGCCCAGGCCAGGGGCAGCCTGGCTGCTGACCCCGCGCCCAGGCCTCCCTGGGGGTGGGGGACCCGCGGGCAGCCAGCCCTCGTGCTGTGGCTGACGCTCCTCTCTGAGGCCTCAGGCCGGGCCGGCCGTGCGGGACAGGGGACTGCCGGTCCCTCGCCCCAACCCCGCCCTCCCGGTCCGGTCCGCAGCCCGCCGTGGACCCGCCGCCCTTGCACGGGCCCGACCTCTGCGTGGAGGGCGCA